TACAAGGAACATGTCTATCACTATCTATATTATTTTCATTAAATTATCCAACGAGTCTAGTAATTGTTACTTTTACATCAAAAAAAAAGTTGGAGAACAACAAAAAATCCTTATTGTTTGTAGAAATTATAATGGTACAGAAACAAATCATTATCATTCACATTATAATACATCAATTCCTGTACGTCATAGAAAAAAATTTATTATACAAAAACGAATTAAACAAAATGAAAAGATTTATCGTAAAAATCCACCAATATCAACAAGAAGAAATACAAATCATAATAATGAAATTGATTTTTCTATGGTAAGAATTTCAATTATTTATTTCTTTTAATTTTTATATCTGCAATATTTAGATTCGAACAATGAAAATATTTGAAATAGAACGTGATCTTCTGCGTCAAACATGTGATACAATTGATCGTATTAAAGTTTATTTATCTGATCGTCTTCTTGAAATGAAAGATTCTTATTGTATTCATTTATCAATAGGTGAAGTTTGTTTTATAAAATAAAAATTATTTATTTTATATTTATTTTTTTAGACAACTGGTGTGGCACCAGAATCAATTTACAATCGAGATTTAGTTGCTGATTTACTTAAATTAACAAATACAGTTCTTGCTGAAGCAAATTATGATTCACAAGTAATAAAAAGAACTTCTATTGTTTCTTTTAAGCCTCAACTAATAATACTTGAACACTTTTTATCTACGATTTATGCTAGTTTAATAACACATCTTCACGTATCATCATTAATAGTACGTGATCTGATGGTATGAAGCAGTGGAAGAAACACCAAGCAATGTTGAATACACTATGTATTTTGAGTGAAACGATCAGAAAAAAATTTTATGATAGAAATTATTTATAATAAATGTTATTTCGAATTACGTTTTTATTTTTTCAAAAAAAAACAGTTTCACACAGTTGAGGGCACCATATTACAGCGTTGATGGAATGAATGAAGTGTGTTCAGCAAAAAGGAAAGACTGGGCAGGATGAATAGTCAATTAGTTACATAGAGGGCACTAAAGTCAAAAAGTAAATCGCTTCTAAAATGGTTGTAAAAAATTTACTAGTCATTTCATATAGCAAACTCAAATATAAATGAAAAATGGGATCTCTCGACAAAAATTCATCCAATAAAATTCTTCGGGTCGAAAATATAGCCAAGGTGCATCAGTCACGTTTAAATCCACTATTAAAAGTATGAGTCATTGGGGTCTGACAACATACGAAACAAATAAAAAGCTATGTATATATTTTGAAAATCAAAATTCAACTCATTGATCGTATTAAATAAAACACTTTTTTCAATTATAGATAAATTATTGAAGTATTTTGAAAATGGATCCTTCACGGTCGGCATCTAATTCTCAACCGAATATATTCCCTTCTACATATGATCCAACAAATATTGATAGTCCTGGCTTTGATCCTGAAACATATGTTACAAAATTATTACGTGAAACACGTTTAACACAATTAATTGATAAAGAACAATTATTAACAAAACAAATAAAAACTTTAGATAATGAAATGCAAACACTTGTTTATGAAAATTATAATAAATTTATATCAGCAACAGATACAATTCGTCAAATGAAAAAAGATTTTAAAACCATGGAAGATGAAATGACACATCTTATATCAACAATGAGTACAATTAATTCAAATAATCATCAAATACATTTAACACTCGATAATCGACGTCAAGAAATACGTAAATTAACAAGTATACATTTATTATTACAAAAATTACAATATTTATTTCAATTACCAAATAAATTAAAAGAATATGCAGATGATAATCAATATGATTTAGCTGTAAATACATATACAAAAGCATTAAAAGCATTACAAAAATATGAACATATACCATCATTTAATCATATTCAACAAACATCCAAAGAAACAATGAATAATATACGTGATGAACTTAAATCAAGATTTGATCAACAACAAACGACATCAAGTAATGTAGTCAAATTATTACTTCAATTAGGTGAATCATCTGATTATCTTGCTCAACAATATCTTTCACAAAATAAACATAGACTTGAACAACCATTAGCATTAATGAAACAGCAACTTATTGTTGCTGAAAATCAATTAGGATCGACATCATCAACAATTTCAAATACAGTTACACAACGTAAGTAATTTCAATTTGATAAAGTTTCATGTATAAAATTGAGAAAAGAAAAATATCCTCTTGATTTGTCGATGAAGTAAAAACGTGATTTATATTGAAATCAATCAATATCTTTCAACTCATCTTCTTCATAGATTTTGATTGAACATTAATTAAAACTATGTAATTTTTTTTCTTTGATAGAAATGCATCCAATGGATATTCTTGAATTTGTTGATACAAGTTATAATTCTTATATAAAAAATCTTCATGAATTTGTTGAATCTTATGAATTATTATTTATACGAAACTCATCTACTGTACCATCATCACCAAGTATTGATGATGAATATAAAGAACGTTGTAAACATTATTTAGAAGAATATTTACTTGAACTTTATTCAAATTATATAAAATTTATTCATGATTTATTTCAATCGAAATATTATGGACAAGATGATGATATACAATTATATGTACGTGCTATAGATAGATTTTTACGTCGTTCATCAAATGATATATATAAATATTTATTAACACAACATGCATTAGAAAAAATGCGTTTAATGCTTGATACATTTTTAACATTTGCTATTGAATGTCGTTTAAAATTTTATCATTTATATATCGATCGACATTTTCACGATCAAATTATTGAATTAAGAAAATCATTAACTATTATTCAGACAACAACCACAACAAATGAACAAGTACAGTCATCATCATCAACTGAAAATCAACAATTGCAACTTAATTTATCACAATGTGTTGATAAAATGCTTAAACAATTAACAAGTGATATCAAAATAACATTTCAAAATTTATCAACATTTCTTAATGGTACAGAAATGATTGGTCATACAGGAAAAAAAAATTTATTTGTTAAACAATTTGCTACAAATCATGTATGGAACGGATTTTTTTTAACATTACTTCATCGTTTAATAACTTATTTTGAACATGAATATACAACAGCAAGTAATAATTCAACAATGATAAGACATGAACAATCATCACCACCTATTCTTTTACTTATATTAAGTAAATTAATACTTGATTTTGATTCAAGTTCAATACCATATTTATGTACTGTATTTGAAGAAAAATTTAATTTAATACTTGAAAATAATCAACGAGGTATATATTTTATTCATTAAAGAATAATTTAGAAATTATATTGTAATTAATTTCTAGCAATATTTCATATAGAAGTTAATAAGAGAGTTTAGCGAGTATTATTTAATTCGTTTCTATCATATATCTTAATTCAACATGATTTATAGATTAATGTATACGAAATAAGACGATCTAAGAAATTGATATAATCTAGAAAATAACGATTGTTTTCATAAATAGAGATGTAAATCGATGCATTCATCAATGACGGCTGATATTTTTCGATAACTTAAAAAAAACCTGTCTTTATCGCAGTATGTTCTATGAGAGTATTTCAATAGAAGAAATCGTTTCAAAAGATAAGAATACAGATAAAAGTCCTATGAATAAACTATACTCTGATGACTATTTGAATGTTGTCTTCATCTAGGTGATAATCAAAAAAGTGGATCATCATCAATAGATCGTTCAACATTAACAGCTGTTCAAAAACAATTTAGTATTATTGCCAAACAATTACTTAAACAATACATTTGTTCTCAAGGTTATACTCTTTCTCAAATGCTTCGTAAATCAATTGAAACTCGTGATTGGCTTAATACCATTGAACCAAGACATGTTCGTTCAGTAATGAAACGTATTATTGAAGATTTAACTCAAATAGATAAACAAGTTAGAATGCTTTATAATGATCAACAATCATCAGTACCATTAACATCATCATCATCATCGTATGGTCGTTATTATCATCGTTCAAATTTGATTAGTGGAGGAGGTCGAAGTTCTGATGGTGGTCGTCGTACAATAATAATGCCACGTAGTTCAGCACTTGATCGAGCAACAAGTCGTGGACCAGGTAGTTCAGGTGGTTCAACTGGAAATCTTCAACTTAATTTTCATAAAGTATTCAATGAAAAATTAGATATATTTATTGATTTACAATTTCAAAAAACTTCTATTTTATCAAGTATAATTAAATTACTTTTAAAAACATATTTAGAATGTATTCGTTTAAAAACATTTTCACGTTATGGTTTACAACAAGTACAAGTTGATATTAATTATTTGTATAATTATCTTTGGTCATTTGTTAATAATGATGATCGGTTCATAACAAATTTACTTGAAGAAATTGTTAGTAGTACAGTTATGAGATGTTTAGATCCTATTCTTATGGAAGCTAGTGTCATTACTGTAATTTGTGAAGGAAATTAAGTCTTGTTTTTTTCTTTGTCGTTATTCCGAAATATATATATTTATATATACATACCTATTGATTATTTTAATTTCGTTATCTTATTATTGTTGTTTTGTTTCGTTTGAAGATTAAATAAAATGAAAGATTGTTTTTTCAATAGAAATTTATCATATGGAAATAATTATTTATTGTATTAATAGATTATATTCATTATGTGAGTATAGAAAGATTTTTTGTCTAAGTCAAAATTATTTGGTTCAATATGCCAAAATTAAATAATATAAATTTTATTGATATTTATTTGATTGACTATTAATATTGAATAAGATGATAATTACTTTAACTCAGTAAGTTTCATACTAGAGTTATTCAATAATAATAAATATTGTTTTGTCTTAGAATAAAATTATAAATTATTTACATATGATCTTATTGCGCTTTGGAAATGGTTAATATTCATTATTATCAAGTCGATCTTATTTTAACCCATTAAAAAACGTCAATCAGTAGAAACATCAATGAATGAATATCAAGCTGAATATTTTCAAAAGCTTAGTGAGAACAGATGGATTATCAAAAATTGAAGAAATGAGTCATTGATAGTTTTTCTTTTCGTGTTTGTCACAATTTGATTAACAATTTCAAATATGTCCTTTATCTTTTTTTTTTCTTTTAATTTACATTTAAAGAAGTGATTTTAATGACTTTTATCTTTCATTAACAATAGATGAATATGTTAAAGTTTAGCAAATAAAATAGTGGAGGTCAGCAACAAAATAGAAATGATGATTCCAGTGTTTTATCCAGGTTTTTTTCTCCGAAGGGGCGATTTGAAATTTCGGGAGGGCGAAAATTTTTTTCGGGGGGAGGCAAGCCATATAGTTCGTCATGCGATGATCGCGAGTCTCGGGGGGGGGGGGGGGACTCAATTTTTGGGGGGGGGCCCCCCCCCCCCCCCCCCCCCGGGCACCCCTCTGGATAAAATACTGGATGATTCGCTTTTAATATTTTTCTTATCATCATATACTTAGACTTCTATTTTCATTTTAATATTCTTTCTATAGATTATTTTTTCTAGATGACAAGCAATAATGAATGTTGTTCTTGTTGTCAACAATCATCCTATTTACCTGTTCGTTCGGCTTGGGCAAAAGCTGTATTATCAAAAGTAGAAAATGATCAACGTTTAGAAGATATCGATCGACGTACATGGTATCGTCTAGCACGTAGTGATCTTTTACGTGATGAATATCGAGTACTTTTTCATGAACTTCATGAAGATGAAGAAACAACTAAATTTATTGAACAAAGTCAAGCAAAATCTGATAATATTCCTGTACAAATACTTCATAGTCTTGCTAGTTCTTTATTGACCATATTCATTGCACGAACATCAGGTATGTTGATAAAAACTTTTCACATAAGACAAATATACTTTTGAAAATGACACAAGAGCTCGTAGATTTAAAAATATTTCTTTTATTCATTAGAAATCATTATGAAAAAATAATGATGATTCAATGCATAATATTCTGTACTTAGAAAGATATTACATATGACCGACAATTCTGTTAACTTCAAATTTTTAGTATTCATATTATTTTTTTTTGTTTTTAATTTATTTTTAGCTAATGGTTTAATTGGTCGTGGTCGTATGTTTGTCTATTCAACTGCACAGTTTAAAACATTACTTGATATAGATGATAATGAACCATGCCCGTTTACATCACTTCTTGATATTGGTGCTGGTGATGGTTCTGTAACCCAACGAATGGCTGGTCTATTCCAAAAAGTGTATGCTACAGAAATATCATCAATAATGCAATGGCGTCTATCAAATTATGGCTATACAGTACTCAATATAGAACAATGGGGAGATACAAAATTTGATGTTATAACATGTTTAAATGTTCTTGATCGTTGTGAAAAACCTTTGACTCTATTGAAAAAAATTCGTGAACATTTAAATCCTAATCATGGTCGTGCTATCATAACTCTTGTCTTACCATTTAAACCATATTTTGAATATAAGAATGATCATCATCCAGATGAATCAATTGTTATAAAAGGTCGTTTACCTGAAGAACAAATAAATGAATTTACTTTAAATGTTTTTCATCCATTAGGTTTTCGTTTGAAAAAATTAAGTCGTTTACCATATTTATGTGAAGGTGACATGGAACGAAGTTATTATTTTCTTTCGGATTATATTTTTGTACTAGAAGTTGTTTAAATATTTTGTTTTTTTTTTTCTTATTTTATTGTTTTCTATATATTTTATATTCCTGTTTATCAGGATTAGTGAATTCTTCATTTTGGCTGTATATGTAATCGAATTCTGTCTTGTTTCTTCTTTTCAAGATATAAATAAAGATCATCTTAATCATTGAAAAATAAAATAAAATAATCGTTATTTCAAAAACAATGTGAATTTACTTTCATGATGAGCTAGATTTATGAAGATGTTTGAAACGAGTAAGAATGAAATTAAAAATTTGAGCTCAAGTTCAGACAGTGGTTTTAATAATTAATGAAGTTTTCTATCTAAATATTTCATAGATAACTATGAGGATAAGGTTTCTCAAAAATTGGACACTACTGCCGGTATTTTCTGTGACTTTCACTTGAAAAAATGAAAGCATCACAAACATCGAAAAAGACTTTTTGTAGTCAAATTTTTCATGAATTTTGAGTTAAAATGACATTGTACAAAAATAGCTCCGACAAAATCTTCTGGAACCTAAAACTACTATATCCAAATTTTTATATTCTTTGCCATCATAGATCACTTATGAAAACACTATATAGAAAACAAAATCAAAAATACATTGTTATTAAACTCTTAACCACCATTTTACTCACATTGAAAGAAACTCTTCTTACTCTAAGTTTGTTTTTATATTTCATTTAATATTTTACAGTTCATACATCGATGAAATTCACGCATAAGATTTGTTGATTAACTTACATTTATTAAAACGAGCATGCCTTGAGAAATAATTGTCATTTTAATAGTTAGTAATATGGTAAAAAAGATTTTATGACCTCATTGTAGTTATTATTCATCAATATTATTGTTATAAATTATTCAGCTATTCAAACTAATCAATCGAATATACATTGCACGAGACTTGAGCTTGTCTTCTTTCTTTTACATCGGTTTTTAGTAGTGAAATTCATTTTTATTTTAACATATTACATATGCCGAGAAAGTATGAAATACGTTGCATCTTATAATATATCCACTCTGTACAATAAATGAAATTCAAAACATAAAAACTGCAGTAAAAAGAAACACGTGTCATTGATATTTTCTATAATAAATCGATTGAATCAACCAGGGTAAGTTCTCCAACAGATAAATTATTTCGAAGTCAAGGTTATCCACATTATGTAGACCCAAATGAACTACGAATGCCCTGAAAGGAGTTCACATCCTTAGCTCATTATTATGAAGATATTGCACTTTTATGGTATTAGTTAAATGAATACTATAATCTGTTTCCATCAGGAGCATTGAAAAAAAACTGATTTTTGAATTTCAACTAAAATCTTTGCATAGTAATAGGCCTTAAACAAGAATCGTTTTATTTCGTATTGAAATAAATAATTATCTTGAGATTTTATTCTATAGCATATACTAATGAAAATGAGTACATGTGTCGATAATGTTTTTTTTTTTGAAAATTTATAAACAATATTTCATATGGAGGAAATTTTTGGTCTTTCTAACGATTATTTTTAACCTTTTAAACTGTCAATGGAAAACAAAACAACAACATCAAGAAACGGAAAATAACAAAATTATAATATCATGACAATATTATTACCATAAACTCCTAATTTCATGAAAAAATATATATCAAATCATAAAATATCAATATCATAAATATTAATAGTATAATTGATATAATATAGCTATCAAGTATATCAACATAATCTAAATCATTATTACGAATCATATGTAATTTAAAAAAAAAATAAAATAATATAACAAGGTGTGACCTTTTATCATTATGTGACAATAACATAATTAAATGATAATAATCTGTAAACTAAAAAGATAACTATAGGTACGAAATAATTCATCTCCAATACCAAAATATACCATTAATGGTTGAAAATGGTCATTAAAAAGACCGAAAATTTCCACCATACAAAATATTTATTACACATAAAAGAATTCTCTACATCTATACTCATTTTCATTAATATACGATATGACATTAATTTCAAAATAATGTTTCACTTCAATACAAAAAAAAAACAATACTCGCAGTTTCTGGTTGAAATTCCAAAAATTAGTTTTTTTTCTGGCGTTTCTAAGAAGAACAGATTATGCTAGTCATTTAAAAAAATACCATAAAAGTGCAATATCTCCATAGCAATGAGCTAAGGACAATTAGTGTTGACTCAAAAGTAATTTATTCCAAACGTGTTTTACATCTCAATAAAGAATTAAATCTCAACATCATTCGTTAACATATGCAGTCTCAGATTGATATGCATGTTGATTAACTGTAATAGCCATCTCATTATTATTGCTATTATTATTACAAAACATTTATATGAACTTTAAGCATATTGTGACCGATCTTAATGATAAATCTATAGATTTCTTTAATGACTGTGTATCTTAGAGCGTACACTCTTTGTGAGGTTAAAATACAGCTTGTTATTTGTTTGTAATGTATTTTTGTATTTTAAACTTTATTGTGATTAATGACTGCATAATAAAATACAGCGCATCTCATATTATCTAGCTGTATGAAACGTATTAACAAATTAACAAAGCGTAGTAAAAAAAGAAAAAGAAAGACAAAGAAAAACGAACTAAATCCAATGAGTGATAATTATAATGTTATAGCTTTTATTTTGTCAACTCAAGGTCTCATCTATTTTTATTCTAATGGTGTGATCTTTTTTTTTTTGTTATTGATACGAAAAACAAAATATTGTATATATTTTTTGTCAATACAATCTTGATATCACGCCATACGTATGCAGTAAATTCTTCATCTTTAGACGATAATAATTATCAATAGAACTTGTTATTTCATTCAAATAAGAATGATTTATTATTTGACATTCGGTATGCAATATCATAGGAATTACTTTGATACGCAAGAAAAGAAGAAAAATTTGTTATTTGGATCATTCATTTATCATTAATAAATTCAAGCATTATCATCTGATATGTATTCTTATAGAAGAAAAATCCACAACAATTAATCTTTATTCATGTAAAATCACTTACGAAAAAGATAAAAAGATTAAAATTTATAATTTGTAAGAATATTTCATGTATAATTTCGAGTAAAAATTATGTTTTCAGTTCACCGAAATCTTTTGATATCTGTTGATCGACATTGATGTTAACTTTTAATCGTGCAGAGGCCATAAAAGAAAGAGTATCGTCTTAGTAATGATTTGTTTTGTTGATCATTTGTCCTATATGTTTTTGTTTTTTTTTTCCGTTTACCAACTAAGTAATTACGTCTATATTTTTCATGATAAGAATAATATCAATCAAGTATGACTTGAACACCCTGGTTATTAGTCACATGTTTGCTTCTCGTATTTACATAGCTCTTCTCAAAATTTTTATTGCAAAGGAAAAGACCCTATTCTATCTGTTTTTTTCCTTTCAGAAGAAATAAACAAAAAATGTATATTTTTTCTTTTCGTTGATGTCTATTAACAAAAAATAATAGTTACTTTTATATCATACATTATTTTCGTATTCAGATTTATCATTTTGTGCGCAAATCAAGAATCTTATTAATACAAATGACGACTAAAGGTTATAATCATTTCAAAAGATTTCATGCATCAACATCATCAAGTCATACTGAACAAAAAGTATGTTTTGAAAAAGAAACACAAAGCATCATGTTTGAAAACATAGAAACTCCAACAATAAATCCAACTGAAAATAATCGTCGACGAAATTCTCGAACTTTTATTAAGAAACTTTTAAATACAACATATAATTCCAAATTAAAAAATGGAAACAAACGAAACTCGAATAGTGTTGATGATAATATGTTTGATGAAAATGAAAAAATTACAAAACTCGTGTCAAAAACGAACTCAATTCCATCAATTGTTCATCAATCTGTATTAGAAAATGAAGTTTATTCAAAATCCAGATCAAATGAGGAATTTAAACCTAAGGTATGTTAAATTAAATAAGATAAATTGTATTTTGGTTTCTCTTTTTTTTTTGTAAAGGGAATATTAAAAAACTCAAAAAGTAATTCGTATGCCGATCAAGTCAATGAAATATGCAATAGCCATAATCGATTTCAATCCAGACAAACATATTCTGAAACATGTCATACAACAAATAGTAAAGAAAACAGTAATGACTTTGTACCGGTAATTAATGAAAATGATAGTTCATCTTCAACATCAAAGAGTTCTTTGCCACCTGTCAAATGTGTTAAATTTAGTGATATGATATGTGAAACGATATCTAAACCAAATAAATCAATGCCTATCACAATAAAATATTCATGTGATCAAAAAAGAAATTCTCAAGATTCAAATTTAATGAACATAACTGAAGTAAATTCGTATGACGAAAATTCTATTGATAAAGTACAATTTTATACTGTAGATTCGTTACCGTTTGAAGAGCTTAATGTGCATGAACCCAGCGATAATAAACCCACTCATGATGGTTTAGTAATGTTTTAAAAATTATTATCAGTCAAAAGATCTATGTCTCTTGCCATTTTATTTATAACTCAATCAGACAATTCGAAAAACTATTTTTTTAAATTATGATTTCTTTTCTGTATATGATGTGAATGTATGTCTTATATGTTCAGTTTATTTTCATGTCATTTTTGTCTTTTGCGAGTATCTGATTTCTTAATTTTGTTCTTACACGAAATATTGTTTAATAATATACTAGCATATGTTCGGCAATATTTGAAAAAAAGTAATTTAATTCTCTCAGTTTTTCAGCTGTTTAACATAGATAATTTTAGATAAAATAGATTTTAATTTCATATAATCCATTTTATTATTTCTTTTGAAAGAATTGATAAAAGAAAAATAAGAAATCCTTTGAGAAAAATGCAAAATATGACTAAATTTTAAATAAAATCATATTTTAGTTATTATATTTCCTCTCTGTATGTTCGAATTCATCACAGATGACAAACATGAAAGTTGTATTCAATTATTTAAGATTTTTAAAAAATTTGTCACCATAAGTAAGTTTTTAGAAATGCATTGCTGCTTGGCGACACATAGCATCTCTTGAAGAACGGCAATCCTCATTCTGTATTTTGACATTACTGAAAAGGATGTATAGCTAAATGGATCACTAGAGTTTCGACATTTTTTTAAATCATCTTCGACCAAAACAACAAACCGAATGAGCTCTTTTAATCTGGTAATCAATAAGTCAACTAATATTTTGAAATAATATATTGTATGTTGATATTGCTGTGAGTAACAGTAGTAATTCTACAACATTAACATGAATAACTCGCTCATAATACCATTAAATTAATATGACTTATGGTTGGCAAAATAGTTTTTTCCTAATAAACTAATGTTCAATAACATCATCATCAATTAGTCCTTTTCAAACTCATCGAAATAACAAAAAATATTTTCATTATTTTAAATTATTTGAATTCCAACATTGTTTTTTACTTCTGACAGTTCTTTTAAATGATTGATTCCGGTATAATATATGAAAAACAAATTATAAATCAATTGCAATTTCGATTGAAAACATTAGTATCAAACGACGACAATCAGCCATACGAACGGAATAAAATCATCAAGTGCTATTCTACAGGCGGTGCTGTGATTTTCTTCTAGGATTGTCTAGGTTCACTTAAACGTTGTATGCCTGGTAAATAATGAAAAAAAAAAACATTTTGTTGTCTTTCTTATTCCTCCTATGAAAGTAAACGGAATTTTCTGTTGGATTTCGACAGAAATATGAAGTGCTACGATTATTTAAATTGACTAGTTCTTTCTTTTCTCAAATCTGAAATCAAGAAACTTTATTGCGTCTTAAAATGTGACGAACCATAAAGTCATTTTCATAAATATTAATAATTGTAGAAGCATAGTACTCAACAATTTCTATTCCTTGACTCTATTGGTTGGTATCGTCTTTTGCTTTCTGAAAATTATTATTGAAAAAACATTTTTGTGCAGATGATCAGTTTTATTGATAGGATTACTCAAGAATGTTACTAAATTTGATGCGAAAACAATTGAAAAGCAAAGTTGAATATAATCTTGAAACATTTTGAAAGTATCAGAAACCTTGACGATTTTGCATCAAATAGCTCAGAAACTATACAATTTTTTTGTACTAGACTACGAGAAAAGAATCAATGATTTGCTTTAGTCGACGAAAACGTCAATTTTTCACTTCGATCATGTCAACATTGAGACGTTCCTAACAATGCATATTATACAAAAATATTATAAATATAAGGATAACTTGCCTTTGTTCGAACGAGTACATATTCGATTTGGATGCATCTATCACATATGTACTTAAAAGGTTTCAATATTTTCCAGATAGTTGATCATTCGTCTATGTGAAGTATTATTCACTATTGTTTGTATTATGAAAAAAAATCATAAAGCCTAAGGCAAAATTATGTTATTATTCTTGTGATTACTGTGAAGAATCTTGAACACAACATTTGTTCAATATTTATTTCAAACATATATCCTTTTAAGAAACAAACCGAAGCAGTAAGATGATTGTCATGCACTGACTTTTGAATACAATCATCCATATAACTTTATATCAGAAATACTTCTCCTATGAACCACTTGTGATATCAGTATTGCTCTGAAAGCTACTATTGCATTTACAACATCGATTATTTGATCACAAAGCTATCTTGCAACTATTAATACTATAAAATCTTGTTGTGTGTACTCAATTCAATTGCAAATGGATTCAATCTATTTCACTTCAATATCTGGCATAGTCATTAAGTACTATCATAATATGGTAGCATTTCATTATCAAATGAGTTATGTAATGTTTTTATTAGTTGAATATTTGTCTATTGATAGGTTCTTTTTCAATTGCTTGTAGTCTTGTCTTTATGTTTGAACGGTGTCTAATCATTAATTGATGTAGTAATTATAACACATATTTTCAATAGAGAATCATATCTTTCGAGCAATCAAAAATAAAAGAGTACGAAATCGAGACCAAGGATGAAAATTTCTTTCTTTTTTCTTTGCTTTCTTTTCATGATAGATAATATTCATTTCATTCTTTGTTTTCTTTTTTGTCACTTTTTTTTCTTACCTCAACCTATCAATTTACTAGAATGATGACGAGCAAATAGGTATAAATTAAAAAAATATCAATTGAAATGAAAAAGAGTATGTAAACAAGAATGTGAATTACTGATGGGTAAAATTGAAATAGTGCAGGTATTGTCAATAAAATATAAAAGAATGAAAAAAAGAAGGCACATACTAGACACATTTTCTCTCATCTTCAATCATACAAGTAAGACTTTTGTCTTTTATACACACACATATTGTCTTTCTATTTTGATACTTTTGCAATTGTTGTTATTTTTCGATGACAAGTAATACTCTACGTCATCTTATTTAAATGAAGATGCCGTATGCAAAGAAAAAGAACCATTAACATTACTAAACAATAATCTTCGAAACTCACCACATACACATATTCACAAGTGGTTTATGTCTACCGTTATAGGATACAAAATATGCACGTGTGTGTGTGTTTGTCTGTCAACAGTGACGAATGCTGATAACTAAGTGTGAGAGTGAAAATGAAAAAGAAAAGAAGGAAAAGAAAAAAGAAAAATAGTATTTGCTTTTGACATACTAAATAATAACTTTTAATGATGAATACATGAATAAATAAATTGACTAAAAATTTATTCTTCAAGCATCATATGTTCTCAATCATTGTAACAAATCATATTACAATCATTATTAAATAGGGTAAGAATTGATAATATACATTTATCAAACTTTAAAATATTCATCTTATTAAATAAAAGTAAAAAATACAGAAAAAAACGAGAACGAATATAATAAATGACTTCTTTTCTTTTTTTCATCAAAAAATTGATGAGTGCTGTTCGCATTTGTAGATAACAAGCAATTGAGAAAGGAAACAAAGGTTAAAGAACGATACAACTTTAAAGGCATTTTTTTCACAATTTATCATGCGTTTTTATAGACCCATAAATGACGTATCAAAATCAAGAATACCTCGTATCAGAGTCTTCACAACCACAGCAATCCTATTCCGAAAGAAGAATATTTGACAATCATAATAATCGTTGGTATCATTCTCATCTTCCCTCGGCACAATCTCTTCATATTGAATGTAAAGCTGAAGAACGACATTTTATCGGTGACACATCTCCATATTATAATATTGACTCCTCTTTAAAACCTATCCGTTTTACAATGAGTGATCAACTTGAACCAGTACAATTTCGTTCAGAAATTATTGTTCACAATAATACTGACACAGATTTACATATAAAAAGACTTCGTGTTGCTTTTCATTATCATGATGATACACCAACAAATGCTCAATTAAATAATCGTGCAATATCAGCGACAGAATCAACTAGACGTAGTCATTCAGTAGATACGCCAAGATCTTCATTACCACAAAGACAACAACAAGAACAACAACAGCAGCAGAAAGATAATGATTCAAGAAGAAAATTTCAATCAGCAACATCATCACAATCTAAATTACTACATCGATGGATTGATGATATTTGTTCGAATGATGAATTAATGAATAATGATGATATTGTATTTTTTATTAAAAATGGTGAATTCTTTGCTAGAATTTAAGAACTTTTTTTTTATTAACTCTTTGGTTTTTTTATATGCAAAAAGAAATAAAGTATCAAATAATAAAAATGTAGATTATTTTTTATACTTGAAAAATATTTGCATATGTACATAATTATATAGTTGACATATGAAATTATGATGATGAAAAAAAAAAACAATCTTGCATTTAATTTATTTAGAACACATTATTTATATAGAGAAAAGAAACATAGTTACTGATCCATGAGCATCAAACAAAAAAATATTTAGGTCAACAATATAAACAATATATGATATGAATGTAGTTTTAACAAAGTTTATGCTATTGTTTGAATTCCTCAACAAATCATATAATGCTGAATTACGAAGCATTTAGAATAGTATCGTTTTCACTATGCCTTTTCAATCTAGTCTTATCAATCTCTAGAGTGTATGATTTGTTTTGTTATCATAGATGAATGAATTTAATTTAGTATTGAATCATGACGATGACGATATATTAATTAATATTTTCAAACATATAGTAGCGATTATCACTCTCATTGATCATTCTCTAGTGAATCATCTTTCATTCATAGGTATAAATGAAAGATGAGAGAATTAAAACACTTATTTTCCCATGAGATCTACTAAAATTATTTTTACAATTTTCTATCTCAAAAATAGATACATAGCCCAAGTCTAGTGATAAAACAAGATATTTAAAAGTTAAATTTAATCAATTACTAATCAACATATATTCTTTTTCGTCAATTAGTCCATATATTTATTGTGTCTATTTTGAAAAATTTTCACAAAAAATGCTGTACTCAATAAACAAGATATTTTAAGATCATCCTTGTAATTATACTTTCACAACATGTAATAATAATATTTATTCTACAGAAATAGTTCTATCGAAACATGTTAAATAAATATTACTATTCGATATTTTTCTCACTATACATCATTAACGGATATGATCAACTTGTTTCTATTTAACAAGAAAGTCAATAACGCAATTTGACTTCTTATTATAGCACTTTTTTTACAAAGAAAAATAAAATGTACAAAGTACAAATCCATTTATTGCGAATTTTTATATAAAATGTCGACTACTTTTTTCTTCCGTTTAATTGATGCTTGTCTAAATAGCAAAGAAAAAAAAACGTAGTATTCGTTTTTCTAAAAAAACCCCATTTATTAATGAATTTATTCATGAAATCAACTCGTAAAATAAAAAAAAACAATAGTATAAGCAACTATAAATAAGAAAATATTTATCAAGACTATATGCCACAAAAAAAACCCATAATAATAATAATAAATATTATCAAGCATCATTGTCCATGAATATCACAAGTATAGTTTATTTTTTGAAAATTTTATGGAAGACAAAAGAAGAGAAAATAAACAAATCAATATGGAAGACATTCGTTACAATCGAATAGTAATAATATCAGGAGATGGTGGACGTTCAGATGATGGTTTTTTAGGTGGTTGTAATTGAATATTTGTTGTTGATATATATGAAGCATTTTCTCGACCATTTTCTTTTTGTGTCATATATTCTGATTTAAGTTTTTCTTCACCTTCACGTTTCAATGATCTTACATTATTGGTTTCATTTATATTTGTCTGATGTTCTTTAAGACGTTGTGTACGTATTTGTCCAAGTACAGAATTAAATAGATGTTGCCATCGTTCATTTTCTTTTGAATATTGTGAATCTGTATCATCGACACTTTCTTTTGCATGTCTAGTTGAATTATTTAACTTTTGTTCATCATCAGTATCATCATCATTATGATAATTCATTGATGATACGGTAGTTAAATTATTATTATGATTATCATGATCATAATCATCATCATCAGTATGTTTTGATGATGATTTTCGTTCTGTCATTCTTGACATATGACGAATAAGATGTGAATGATGAGGACGATTTTCTTCTTGGTCATTATGTGATTTAATATGTGTTGTTTGTTTTAAGATTTTTCGAGATTTTTTACCAATTTTTTGAATACGTGATGGATCAGGAGCATTAAGTTGATCTGATTGTACATCAGATATAAGACCTGATTTCATATACCAATCAATAAATTCATCTTTGGTTATATGATCATCATCATTGGCATTTAATTCATTAAATGCATCATCAATACGTTGTTGTAAACTAATTTGTTTAGTTCGTTCTTGTTGATTTGAATTTTTATTATGTGAATCTGTTACATCAACAAGTGTATGTAACATTTTACCAATTTCTTCTTTTGTTATTTTTCCATCATTATCTAAATCGAATACATGAAATAGTGTTTCAATAAGACGAAGACGATTAACGGCCGATGCAGCAGATAAAGCCATTACAAATTCTCTAAATAAAATAAGATAATTAATTCATATTATATCAACTATTTATTGAATTGATCAATATACATATAAAACTGACTCGATAGTAAATAAATGTAAAACAAAAAACAAAAAAAAAAAGAAACAATAATTTTAATAATTTGTTTAGCTAGGAAATTAGATTGATTCGGAAACATTTATTGTTTTAATTGAATATTGTTAGAATATAGATGAATATGAATTATCATATCATTCTAATATGAATAATGATAAACTTTGATTATTGTCACTGTTATTCTTGAGTACAAGGACTTCAAAGATTTCCCTATGGAATTATTCTATTTAAACTACAGAAAAAAATGCTAATATCATCAATTGCAATTATTTCTATTATTCTCCAAAATAGTTCTTCCTGTTTTTTCCTCTTTCTCATGCATATAAATATTTTTCTTCTTTCCATCCAAACCAATGTGACAATTTACCCAAATCTTATCGAAATGTTAAGGTTAGCAACATACATGTGAGACTCTGTACCTATGCAGAATTTCGTTTATACAAGTCATTATTTATTTAGTATGAATCGTTAGACTTTTGTAATGACTTTTATTAAAATTATTCTTTTTCTCTATTTTTTATAATATTACATATTATCCAAAAAACAAAGGAAAATTTCGTATTTGAACTATTACTAAGATGAATCGAAAATATTCTATTCTTACTTAAAATCAATATATTGACTTTTATCTTCATCATAAACATTAAACATATGTCTAATATAATCGGCTGTTTTTTGTGTTGGTTTTCCCATTATCTTTGCGTATTCTTGTTCGAATTGTTTCAATGTTAATTTACCATCCGGACAATCTTTATAAAAATTACTATATTAAAAAAACAACAACAAATTATTAATTCAAATAATTATAGCAATAAATAGAAAAAAAAAACCATATTAAATAATTACTCATGCCAAGCAAGTAATTCATCTTCTGTAAATCCAGTAGTTTGACAAAGTTCACGAATCGTTTGTTCACTTAATGGTTCAATACTTCTTACAGCAGGTTTTGATGACTTAGTACCCATTATTGTTAAAATAGAATGTATAATGTGAAAAAGAAAGTCAATTCTTTATCTAAAATGATGAAATTTCATACGAAATGTGCCTCTTTGACATAAACAGTTGTCGTTGAATATCTCACGAGTCATTTAACAGAACGGTAAGAACGCAAGTAACAAAAAGAAAAAGAAATAGGTAAAAAAAACGACAGCTATTAAAATATGCGACGGTTACGCATACAAAATGCAATGGCAACACAAAAGCATACACATGTGTATGTGCGGCACACATAGTGCAAAATAAGAGAAGGAGAATAAAGAGAAAGAGAGAGAGACAAAAAGGAAAGTAGACAAAGAACAGTGATACGAAATATTCGTAAGCTACAAAATAAGATAAATGTTGAAATTTATGCATAAGTATATATAAGTTAATGATACTTGTCTACATGTATATATTGTTAGGAAGATATACAATTTATCAGAAGTAAATTGATCATACGAGATTATTTTTACTAAAATTGAATTTTCTCTCGAGAGAAAACAATAATAAATAATATCTCTTGTCTAGTGTTGTATGTTTACTCATGTAAAAGCCATAAAAAATCCTCATATCTAGTCGTATAGAAATATTTTTTTTTTGATTAGATTAATATCCTTATCAAGCATTAAAGACGTAGATAAAGAAAAAAGAAGAGTAGTTTCTAATCTTACTTTATTATGATGCAGCTGCTACGTTTGTGACATGTAGTGAGAGCTATTTGGCATTGTGGTGCATTAGAACATTTTGTAACAAGCAGTATATCTTTATCTCTAGCAGCATTTTGTTTTTGTTTTTTTTTTCTTTAGTCATGAAAAAATGTTCATTTTGGACTCTAGATTACTTGAGTGCATGTGAAATTATTGACATGTTAGAGTTAGAATGTTAATTTGTTTCCTATATTGTCTAGGTTTTTTTTTACCTATGAAAACTCAAAAAGAATAATTATATGATACTTTCTCAGTAGTTCTACGAGTGCATTAGAATAGATGGACATAAGAAGATTGTTGATGACATCTACATATATATATGTATATACTTTCGTCATAAGTTACTTCTAGTTTATGTTTGTCCTCAAGTAAAATAGACAATTTCTTTTTCTCTTTAATTACTCAGTAAGTGAAGTATGCTTTGTACTTCTACTAATGTTAATAGCTAATATTTTTTTCATGATAGATAATGGTGTAGAAAATAGGAGAATAAAAAAAATTCAACTTGATCATATCATTCCTACTAATGCACGTTTTTCATATAATAATTACTGACACTCATACAATATATATATATATATCATATATGTGGATGTATAAAATAAAGAAGTATATTAATAAGTCAACAACAACAAAAACAATAGTAAAACGAAATGAAAAAAAAGAATATGGGAAGCATGAGAAAACCTTTAGTATTTTCCTTTGTAAACGTGGAATTATGATAACCTTTCATGTCTGTGTAAAAAAATGATTAAAAAAAAAAGTATACAGGGCGAGAGAAAGACAAACATTTGCATTTCTCAGGTCTATTTTTGTCTTCTTCCTCGTTGTTGTATAGCAGGTGTATATGATGCATACAAAATTTATGACTTAGTTTAAAAAAAACTCATTATTATTATTTTCATCTAGAATTGTTGTATGTGGAGAATGCAATTAAATTAATGATTACATTTGGAAATCTGAATGAAGATTATTGTTTTTGTCATCATCAGACGATACTTACGATGGATTAAATTCTAAAATCGTCTTTTTGTTTCCTACTCTTAATCAATTTTTCCCTTGGTGGCAGTTTCGTCTTTTGCATATATTTCTGTTGTGTTGTTTTTTTCTTACATAGTTACATTCTCATCTGTTGCAAGTATTTTTATCAGTTAGAAAATATCGAAAAAAACCTACATAAATTAGTCAAACATATCTGTAGTGTTCTTATGATTGATTATTTTCTACCATAAGAATATTACTTATGTTACAATTGACAGCATTTTTTCTAAAAATATTTTTCAATGTTTTCATGCATGAATCACATAGTATTAACAATTAACAGAAATTAGTATAGCACGTAAATTTGATACACCAACATGAACTTGATTAAGTAACAACTATTAACACGATAAACAATCTATCAGTATGCTGAAAAACAAAGATGGTTTTTCTTGATACTTTATTACTAATATGCTTTTTACTCATTAGCACTTTGTTGTAAATATCAAATAAAATTAAATCTATATATTACGTAATCGCTATTATCTACATTATTGACATCATGAACGTTTTGTATTAGTTTACAGATTAAATAGAAGATTTATTTGTTTCTTTGTTTTTTTCGGATTCAATACATAACTTAATCTCTCTAACTATTTCTAGTAAATTTGGTCATATGATTATATTTGTTTAAGGTTTGAGTACGATGATATGGAACACTATTTTAAGAATGACGATGTCTTAATTTTGGTAAATAATGTAAGTTTTACGCTTTTTTCTCGGTACATATCTCATGACTAAGTTTTTTTTTACTGTATAGTCCATATTTAATACATCTTACTACACTAACCGTACTACTATATGAGAGAATAATATACCACAAAAACAGCTAGTTTTTAAATTAATAACAATTCACAAAATACATGACACATGTAATTTATCTTCTGCTATAAATAAAGTTGTTTTTCTTTTCTCAAAAGAAAACAAACCGGAAACACATTAGAATGTATTTTTTGAGATTTGTCTTCTAGAAAAACGACGTAAAATGACTTCATCATATAATTTAAATAATCAAATAATCCTTTCAAATCTTCGTCTTTAATGTTTCTTCTTATAGACTATATAAACTGTTAAAAGCAAATACACATAGATATTCATTAACAAAACTTCATGTCATATCAACCGAATATAATTTTTACCATGTTGTTATTTTGCTAATGACTTCCTTTAGCATATATATTTTTTTTTCTATCTGTTTGACTAGTCATATGAATCCATTACGTCTTCGACTTAGTTACCATTCTTATATTGATTTAGTTTAAAACTATGTTAATTTATATTAAAATAAAGAATTACTACATGTCATTATCTTTATTTTTCATAATCGACATAAATAACTTATCAAGTATAAAGAAAAACTTTTTTTTTGTGTCATTTTGACAAGGTCATCTGTATATCATCTTCGGTTTATATGGAATGACAAGAAAAAAAAATATATAAACGATTTTATACAAAAAAATAATCAAAGTATAAAAAGATAAAATAAAAAAAAAACAGAAGAAGGCATTATTTTACTGTATCTGTTTTGAACAAAAAAAAGAAATTACAAAATATAGAAATAATATTTAAAAAAGAAAAACAATAAAATCAAACATTGATTTGTTTGATCTTATTTGGAAAAAGCATACCAATGATTACTGGAATCTAGAATTTCTTCACTGTGTATACGATCAATACAAATAATTTGTTTTTTATGGATTAATTCTTGACAGTAATTATGAGCTTTTGATTCATTCTCTATATAACCACTTGATATAAGCCATTGACAAAAATCATTTTCATTAAATATTGTTTCAATTGTTTCCATTGAACTATTTGTGCTAAAACAAAAAAAAAATAAGTTTTACATTAAATTATTTCATTTTTTTTTTTTTATTAAGAGTATTTTTTTTTACCTTTGTGTTAATATTGAATATCGAATAAAATTTGGTCGAATTTGATGTTCAAAGTCAACCAGTCGATCACTTTCTGAGGATCTATGACTTCTATTATGTCGAGGAAATTTTATGTTTAGACCAAAACGATTCAATAATTTAACAATTCTATGAAAAATTAATATTAGAAACGTATATATGTATATATATTTATTTATAATTCTATTAAATCATACTTTCGACTTATAGGTAATAGTACATCAGCATCAAGTGAAAAAACAAGAAATGTTAAAATACCCTAAAAGATTCTAATAGAATTTGAAAATAAAAATTTAAATTATATATTTACTTGACCATGTAAGAAAACAGTATCAAGAAATTGTAATTCATAATAAACACCATCACGATTTTTTGTTAATACTGACCATGATAAAACTGATATGCACTAAAACAAAACTCAAGAAGTAAAAAAAAATATTGTTATTGATTTTAAAAACTAAACTTACAACAAATGCATTTATATTTAATAAACCAACAAGTACTGCATGACGAAGTAATTGTGGATGTATTTCTAATGGATTTTTATCTACAATAATATTTGGAAATATTTCAATATTCATATTGAGATTACGTTCAATCTCGAATCAGTTTAAGCGAATCTCTCATCTCAGAGTGGACGCGTTCAATATCGAATTGAAGTAAAAACAATTGTTAAAACTCGAACTAATTTGCGAACCGATGAACTGATTAGGAGCAACGATATTTTAATTAATGCAATCATAAACAAATGAATTAAATAAAGATTCCAGCGTATATGAACAGTTTTCTATATACAGTAGTGCTGATATACAAAACTATTCATAACTTCACGGATTCAAACTTAATTTGATCCATTCATGATTGTATTAATTGAAATACCACTGCTCTTTCTCTTGTTCTCTAACTCATCAATAAACATTTCAATACAACACAGATCTACAATTTTTCTTGGAGTTTTAACATCTGTTTCTCCCTCATTCCGATATTGGATACCAACATATATATACTATATAATCAATAAAATCATATAATTAAATACCTATAGAAACTGATTCTATTGTTGTTTGACTTTCATCATATTCATTTGAATCATTAATTAAAGGTCGAATTTCATTTGTTATCAAACTTGCACAACGATTTTCACGTGCATTTTGTTTTAATCGATATGTACGACGAGCAATACGAAGAAGATTTGTTGATATAAGTATTACACATGAAGAAAGTAAACAAATTGAAGAAATAATTTGTATTGTACCAAATTTTTCTGTATCTAATGTTGGTTCACCTTTTGATCTATCAACTTTTGATTGAAGATAAATCATAACAGTTGTTAAAATTGGTGCTAGCCAACCAAATAAATGATACAACCAAAAATACTGACGAGCACGTTCATATGAATAGCAGATTGATATCATTAAAGCAATTGAAATACTTGCTGCCCAAGCACGTGTTATTAATGCTGTTAGAACACTACCTAAAATGAATGAACATTGCACATGTTATAAGTCATTTGTATCCTAAATGTACACAGAATTTCAATTCAAGAAAATATGTACAGAAAATAGAAGCTGAAAGAAAGAAAAACAAATTTAATACTTGATGTCATGTGGAAGTCCTGTAATACCTGAGAATTAACTAGTTTTTATGTATGCATTGCGATAATCAATGACATTGTCTATAAATTTAATAAAAAAGAATCAATATATTAGAGTCCGTTAGATGGACAATTTTTGAAACCGAACACGATCGAACTATTCATTAATATTCTTGATTAAGTTTTCTAATCGAAATTGGATAGTCGTCTTGAACATACGAGATAATTTTCTTTGCGTTTTTCCGTATTCAATTACTAGGTCATTTCATATATTTTTTAGACGACTAGAACCCATCGGATCTGGGCTCGAAACCAACCCGCCGAATTCTACTGTATATTCATTTTATCTAAATCTTCTCGAATAGCACAAGTGTTTTAAAATCATATAGTTAAATAATGTATTTAAAGATTTATTCAGGATACTTATTTATTCGTTTCTATAGCTAATTTAAGTTGAGTGAAAAAGAAAAGTTAGTTTTGAAAATGTCAATGCAAATAAAAATATTTAAAAGCTCTGTTTGAAATATCTATCTACTTGAATAATTGTTTTTCATTATTACTACATATTAATTTGAATGTTTATGAAAAATTAAGAAAAGAAACATATTCATTTTTAACATAAAATTTGATCTAATCTCTCTTACCTAGATCAACTATAATCGAAGCTTTAATCGATATTGGTAACGTTATATATTGAACTGCTATTGTCCATATTGCATGAATCAATTGAAGGCCAGTAAAAATAAATGTATATTTATGAATGGGTGATATTTTCAATAAACGTCGTCGTAAACCAAATCCAATAAGAACAACAACTGTACAAAATAATGATATAATACTAACATCATATGATGTTTTTACTAATGTTGATTCATATGATTGTTTCAGTTTTATATCTAATGTTCTTAAATTAATCATTTTAGCTGAAACAACCATGATTGGTCCAGCAAGTAAAGTTGAAACAATAAGACCTGTTGAAGCAATAGCTCGTAATGCTGGATTTGATTCTGGTACATAAAATATAACTGATGGTGCAGTTGGTGCTGTTCCATATAGAAAACCAAAATTTGAATAATCGATTGTATTATTTAAAGTTCCATTAGTTGATTTAATAAGTAAAAATACAGCTTCACGTAATATTAATGGAAATATAATTAATTTAATCATACTAATAACAAATACAGTTATAACAAGACGTGTATGAAGACGACGTAATTTGCCAGCCATTGTTAAACCAAGATAGAATAATGCTGTTGAACTAAATGATTGTGCTATTGGTGTTAATATATTTTCCAGTATATTTGGTAAATGTTGATGAAATATACGATTAAATATAATACCAAGTAATGTACATATAACAATTGGATTACGACTTATATTATGAAATACTTTTCTTATTAATTGACAACGATGCCATAGAGATATATTTGGATGTTTTTTTTGATCATCTAAACGTTTTTGTATTTCAATTAATAGAAAACCAATTGGATTAAGTATAACTAAAGATATTGGTGCTATTAAATAAATATATCGTCCATAATCAGGATGTGATTGTTTATAAACAGCATCAATTATAGGTAACATTAATGCAAAATCATTACTTTGTGATGACATTATTGCATATAGACCTATACTTGCAAAATTTCTTGGACGTTCAGCTATACCGGTTAAAATTGCTGTTAAAACAAAAACAATGGATTTAGCAATAAATACAGATACTATAAATTGCCATGATACTCTTTGAAATTGTACATCAACGAGATTTTTAAATACAACAGCTGGTAATGCAAAATTACTTATATAACGTGAAAGGCCTGTTGAATGTGTATTTGTTAATAAATTTAATTGACCCGCAACATAACCAGCACCGATTATAAAGAAACATTGAATAAGAGCCGGATAAAGCTCTGAATCAATGGCTATAGGAGGACCACTGGTATCATTCATTATCTTCAAGAAAAAAAAACACAATAGATATTATTACATAGAAAGAGTTTATACAATAACATTAACAAAATCTATATGAATATTTTATACAAATAAGATTAGTACAAAAAAAACCAAAGATCTTTAATGATCAACAAAAAAAAACCAACAATTGCGAGATTCTTAAGTTTTCGTTTTTCTTTACAAATTATTATCTGACTCTATTGTTATACATTAACTAATAGCTGCTTTACTAATCATTTCATAAGCTGATGTTTGATTATCCGTTAGATGAATAATATTTCCATCATCATTAGTCAATGCTAAAATAAATGAATAGAAATTTATGTATTTTTCAATATTAAATTTCTTATTTTTCTATTTACTTAATTCATCCATATCATCAACATTTGAGATTACTGGTGAAAAAAGAATTAAAACAGCGAAAACATATATATTCAACATACCATAAATTCCTAGAAATCAAATTAAAATAAATAAAAATCTTTTCTTTTCTTACCAGTTATAAATGCTCCAGAATATTGAATTTTCGATGGTTTTTCTTTATTCCAAACCCATTGTGTTTCATAAATTTGACTTAAATAATACCAAATAATGGTAAGTACAGCACAAAGAATTGTTGTTAATAATAAAAATTGAAATCGATAAAATGCTCCCTTTAAAATAAATAAAAAAACTAAAAATTAACTCTTTGTTTTTTTTTGTCTTCATTTTCATTCATCAAACCTGATACATTAAACGTCGAATACGACGCATAGCTGCAAGTTCACCTTGTTTACTACGAATATTCCAAAAAACACGTACAACAAGATTAATAAGAAAGATAATATAAATAAAACCAGATAAACCAGCAAGTATAAAAAATATTAAACCTGCATAATGACCAGTACGTGTTGACCATATGGAATAAAATGGATTCCAAAGTTGAAATCCTCTACAAAAACAAAATTAGATAATTATTTACTTTTTATTTCTTATTTACCTTTGACATAATTCAAAAATGAATAAAATACTTGCAGCAAACCAAAGTAAAACAATATATTTTCCATATGACCAAAAACTATAATTAGCACCTTTGTCCTATATAAATATTATAAACATATTAATTATTTAAAATAAAACAAGAAAAAGAATTATTTACTATAATATGTTCACCAGCAAAAAATAGCCAAAATGTTAAAAGAACAGTAAGAAAAAATCCTTGTCGAATTTCACTATAGATTTGAAAACCATTGAAAGGTATTATAAGTGTTAACCATTCGATAGGAGCTAAAATTAGATGAATTTTATCATATGTAGGTTATGCAAGTTAACACTAACCATTTAGTATACATATTGATAGACCAAGTAAAAATAATAATCTAAATACAAAATATTAATATTTTATATTTTCAAGGAAATACTCATGAATGATTAAAAACAATTGTTTTTAATGTTAAAGGTGAATAAGCAAATAAAATAGTAGCTTGAAAATCGTGTAATATTTTCTCAATTAATTGAATCTTTGGTGTTCGATGACTATTTTTTAGAAGACCTACTGATAAAACAATTATAAAAATGAAGTTTTGATCTTGTCGTCTATATGCTACTCCTATCGATAGAACGATCGGATACATTTGAAGTAGTTTAGTTAATTCAGTAAGAATTAAAAGAAATAAAATGATTTGAAAATTCGTACTTTTCTCTTCTAGAATGATAATTTTGATAAGACACGAATAATGTCTATTTTTTTTCTTCACATAGTATGATAAAACAAAAGGGGAAGGAGTAAAAAAAAAACAAATATTTTTAACACTAAATGTACTATACGTATGATTTTACAAAACATCTCTTGAACCCCTAAGTAATAATATAATCAATGGAGATATTTTATTAATGATAAATATTTTGTTCAACTTATAATGTGATAATATTTGCATTACATATATCTTTCCTTCTTTAATTTCTCGATGCTTGCAATACACATTTTCGATGATATGTATATTAGTAGAAAAAAATTTCTAAGAGAAAATGTTATTTTTTCAAACTTCTCGATTTTCTATATGTAGCTTGTCAGAAACAAAATAATAAAACAATCTAATATCCTTTTTTTTAAGCAACCGATAGATCATATAGGTCTACACAAATCATATGATTCGGCATTTTTTCTATGTTTCTATCAATGTTCATGTCCATAGACATTTGAGACCAAAAGATTAATAAAAAAAAAAATTATAATAGAATAGACAAATCATACTCTATATAAATCTAAAGAAATGATTTCTTTCTCATCTTTTTGCTCTAACATGATAGAACTTCTTAACTGTATTGATCAAATTAAAACCTCACGTATATCTAACACTATATTTAAATTACTAATTACTTAGTATTTAGAAAATAAACGATTCAATATAATTATATAGAAATATTATTGTACTACTTCTTAATTCAAAATTATAGCTATCGAGAAGATATAAATAGCATATCGATAATTCTACGAATTGATTTAACTATGAACGTATCAAATTCTTACTAAAGAATGTCTTCCTATATGTCATCTAGAAATATGTGAGTTCAAGTCCAAATCTCAATGTTGAGAAAACTATTCTAGAATTTATTTGTATCACATAGATTATTTAACTATAATCATTTTGTTCCTATCAAAACAACTTTTTTCTCGTGATTTTCGATCTCGATAAAATTCTAAATTTGGATTCTCAACACCTTTGATATCATCTCATGATTCTTATATCTAAAACATTGATTCATTCATTCATTATGTAAATTATAAATGTCCTTAGATATCAAAAAAAAACAAAATCAAAATGAAAACATGTATTTTCGAAATTAGATATCTAATCTTATCGATATCTTGTTTTATCTTTTATATATATGTCTGAAATTGTTTCTGATGTTTTTGGTTTTTTTTTTTTTTTATTGAAATTTCAGTCAAATAATTACTTGTCAAGATTAGAATATTTTTTTTGTGCACGTTTCATTTGTCGACAAAACCAAATAAGAGCAGCAAGAACAATTGGAAATGTTATTGTTTTTAATATATACCATACTTTTGTAAAAGTTTCTGTTTGATAAATAACCTAAATATAAATATAAAGATGATTTAAAAACAAAAAAATAAATAAAACTAATAATTAATACTAACAACAAATTTAAATGATTTAAGTTTACCAATATTTTGTGAAAGACCATATTCATCAATAATTTTTAAATTAATTAAATAATATGGATATTTTAATGTAGATAATTCCAAAAAAGCTAATGATTCACATGTATATCTAACAGGAATATTCTAAATAAAATACATAAATATTACTTTATTAAATAACTTAAAAAAGATAATAATACTTTATTTTCACTATTATAATCATATATTGGTTGACATTTTATTGAACGAGATTCACGTGATTTAACTTCTAATTTCCATTCGGATTTTGAATTTGCATGCATTTCATCAGTTTTATAACCAAGACGAACATCATATGTTAAAATTGCATTTGAACCTTTAAAAAATTAGAATTCATAATTCAAAAAAAAACGAATAATTCAAGATAAAATTTACTTAAAGTAACTCGTGAATCATATTCAATATGTGGTATAATAAATGATGTTAATGTTTGAAACCATGGTGTAATACGTGGCAATTGTATAACAAAAACAAAATCTTTCCAAGTTTTGTTCTATAGAGGAAAAAGAAATTTATAATAAAATAAATAAAAATTTTATTTTAATTCAATTATACAATTTCAAAATTTAAATCAACTTCATCACAATTTCTTTCGGACATAAGATAAGTCCATTGATGATTTTTTTTATGTTGACATACTGTAAATTCATAATCTTTAGCATATGCTGGTTTTGTTCCTAAACAAAAAAAGAAAAATATAATAAGAATTAACATTCTTTTATCTTTTAAATACAAACCAACAATAAGACCACCAATAAGAAAATAAATTATTTGAATAATTAATAAACAAATAAGAAAAATTAAAAGTTTTCTTCGTGTTAATTGTTCTAATAGAACAAGATAAACCATTTTTATTTCCTATCTCTTTTTTTAATATTTCAAAATAAAGATAAAAACAAAAACAAAAAGAATAAAGACAAAAGAATTATAATTTTTCTCTTTTTTTTATCAATTACACATGCTTGTCATACAGTTTTATACAAACGAATAATTATAAAGGTCACTAGATGTCAGCTAAAATATATTATTCTTTTGAGTTGCAAAATCTAGCAAATGAATCATACATTTCTTCTACACACCTACGACAGTGGCTTTTTAACATTCTATATTATTTTGTTTTGATGATTTAGTTTACCCGATCATGTTACGAATATTAGTAATAATTATATTCTTATCATATTATCAAATTGAAAGTAAAAAAACAAAATGAGTTTATGTTGATTGATATGAAGTTTTTTTATTTCATTTAAAGGTGTTCAAATTGAATATCCAGCTAATATACATGTTAAAGAACAAATACGTACAGATATTAATTCAATTGATCAAATTTTTCGATATTATATTATACCACGAGAAATTCAATTTCATGCCGATGCATTACAAGGTCGATTACCATTTTTTTTAAAATGTAAAGGATCAAAAAGTTCAATAAATTTTACTGTTCCAACAACAGCAATTGATGTAAGTTTAGTTATTTGAAATATAAAACTAAAAAAAAAGAAGTTATTTTTAATTTTAAAAATTAAAACCAAACCAAACAAATATTTATAAGTCAATAAAATTATTATTTTTTTTTTAAATAGCATTTATCACTTGATATGGATCATAATTCATATATAATTACTGCTACATTAAGAAGAAATCAACTTCGTTCAGAACTTGTCGGACGTTATACATGTTCAGAAACGATTGATGATAAACGATCTGAAACATCTGTTCATGTATTTATTCAAGGTATATAATTTTCTTTTTTCATATACAAAAAAAAAACAAAAACGAAAATTAACTATGAACTTTTTTTTTGTTTTAGATGGAACTTCAGTATTTACAAAAAGAGTTTATCCTAAAGTTTTTCCACAAACAGGTATTCATTTTTTTAATTTACCATGTCAAACAACCAGTTGGTATCCACGAATGTCATGTCCAACTCATTTAAGTCAATGTCAACCACGTGAATGTAATGCTAAAGAACGTCAAGTTAATGAACTTAAATGTAATATACCTAAATGTGATGGACAAGATATATGTATTCCTGTTTATTATACACCAACAAATTTACAACCAACCGTTAGTTCGAATAACAATCAACTCAAAAATTCAAAATCAATTAATTGATTATTTTTGTTTTGTTTTGTTTTTCTAGAAAGTTTTTTTTGATCCACAAATCGGTTTTGCATTAGAAAATCCAATAATACCAAAAGAATTGACTGAATTTACTTGTATGAGTAATTATACACCTAGTCAAATATCAAGAATTCCATTTGATTCATTCGATCGTATGATTAATTATACATGGAAATTTATTTATTTATTTTTTTAATATCTAAAATTTTGTTTTTCTCTAGCTGATTATATTCTAATTCATCAATCAAGTTTAAATGTAATGCCTGATGAAATGTTAAGATTAAGTTGTGAAATTCAATATGGAACAAAAGTTGGTCGAAAAATACCAAACATTTTTTGGTATGAAGATATTTATAATGTAAAGTATTTGTTTATTAAAATCATAATAATTTATTAATCAATTATTTATTTATTTTCTTTTAGCTTAATCTTGTTGCAAATGAAACTGGAAAACCTTCATTTAATGATTTTACACAAATTTATAGTCGAAATAGTTCAATAACTCTTCGTGGTTTTAAAGCACATCAAATTTATAGATTTTATTGTGTACGTGTATCTGAACAAGGAATTTATTCACGTTCTGTTGATATTACATGTGTTGATAGTATGTTATTATATAATAACTTATAAACATTAATAAAAAAAAATATTATTCTTTTTTTTTTTTGTTTTTTTAAGAACCTTCACTTGATCTTGAAATTACTTCAAGTGGTTCAGATACAGATATTCCAGTATCTTATGGTTCAGATAGTAGTTATGATATAACTATTTTTACTGTTCCACGTTCAAAAATTCGACTTGACTTAACACGTAATGGAGTATCTTTAGAAAATGATAAACGATTTGAATTAAAACTTGAGTGAGTATTTTAAATAATACGCATATATAAGAACGAAATGCAAATCAGTAAATATTCACATAACTTCTTCTTATATATTCACAGTTAGACAAAAAGGTATTTTTGTGTGTTTGTAATCTATATAGCATGAAGTCTTGTGATTAGACAAAAAAAAACAACATGCGATCTTATTTATATAGAATATATTTCATTCGTTATTTTTAAGTTCGGATCGTGAAAATCAATATTATGAATATACATTAACGATTTATAATATTACATTCAAAGATGAAACAGATATAAAAATTGTTGCAAAATCTTCTGAATTAGAAAGAACGAAAACTATTAAACCAATTGTAACTGGTAATCCTATTGGTCAATTATCTTTTCTATCAAATGATATTAAAAGTACAATACCATGGCGTGATCAATATAATAAAAATAAATTAAATATTGATTCATATGGTATATATGAACGTGAATCTTATCAAATTGTTTGTACAGTTTGTCATCGTGCTGATATAGTACGACCATTAAATGTATTTATTCATGATATTCAATGTTCAATTGACAATTGTTTATCAGATATTATTGATAAAACATGTCGATCATCATCGAATCCACGTGTATTACATACAACAGTAAAAAATATAGATAGTTTTACAACACAATTTATTAGTAGTGAATCCGAAATTATTAATGATCCATCAATTGGTCATCAATATGTTTGTTGTTATGAACAAACTGGATCAATTATGCTTGCAAAATCATTAACAGCATTAGCACGTAAGAAAAAAAACAAAACTAATTGAGATGAACATTAAAAAAAAACAAAAAAAGAATATAAATTCTTTATTTTTCATTTAAGGTAATCGTGATATGTTTGTTGTACAGAAACCAGAATTTAGTTTAGTTACTGGTGATATTTTAAAATATAGATGTGAAAGTCATGATATGATTTATGATGATCTTCGAATGATTTATAATGATGGTTTATTTACATATGAAAGAAATCGTTTTGATCCTCAATGGTATTTATTCGGAACTAAACAACCGAAACAAACTGATCTCGAATGGTCAACATCAACAAGGTTTTTTTTCTTTTTTTGTTTTAATCTGATATTATTTTATGTCTATATATATATTAGTGAAACTATTCGAGATACAATTATTGAAGTAAAAACATTACCACTTAGAAAAATTGGTAAAATTGGTTTTCTTCAATGTATGGCTTTATCTAAACGACCAGATGTCATCTCAAATATGAATGATACATATAATATTCATGTAGATGGTAAATTCTAATAAATTGTTTTGTAGAATTTTTTTTATGAAAGAGTTTTTTTTTTGTTTTTTAAAGATCCTGTACCATTAAGATTTAAAAATAATTTACCAGCAATTGAAAAACTTGAACGAAAATCAGGTACTAATGTTGTTTTTGATTGTTTATATGATGGACGACCACAGCCAAAAGTCATTTGGCTTAAAGGAAAATTACCTTTGTCAAGTGATAATTCAACATTACAAATTCGTGATAATAATGGAAGGTAAAAAATAAATTTTATTTTAATTCATAGAATATTAGTTTCTTGTACATAAGAGAATAGTTTTTCATAGTATAAAAGACTATTCATATAGATCATAGATATGCACAAAACTTGAATGTTCGAGTTTGAGTTCGTTCTTGTTCGAAATTATTTTGAGTCAATTAATAAAAGAAAAGAGTTCAAACTTGACTATGATAGATCTAAACATAGTAAAATAAATGATTCAAAAACTGAAGATCTGAAGACATACTTGAACTTTAGGGTACTTTCATGATTACACATGTATCTCAAGAAATGCTTGAGTAATCACCTAAATATTCGATACTGTTTGAATTGATTGGATAGTTTCCGAGACTGAATAGGAACTGTACACTGAATTAGAAATCGGATTCGATGCATACTCAGATATGTATTTAAAAACTAACCTATATTCTATTTATATGATATTTTGAATTAAGTGTTCATATCACTCGTGTTCAAGCTTCTGATACTGGTTATTATACATGTGAATTAATAAATGGTCGTGATCAAACTTTACGTCGAAGTTTTGATTTACGTGTTAAAAGTAAAATAAGAAAAGAAAATGAATTCTTTTTTTTGTTTTTCTTATGACTATTTCTATCTTTTTTTTTTCTATTTAGCACCATATATACATTCAAGATATCGTCGATTAATATTCATATTTATAATATTATCTGCTTGTTTAATACTTATTCTACTTATTTTACTTATTATTCTTGGTGTAAAATATTATAAAATGAAAAAAATTGTTAAATCAAGTATTTTTCATGCTCAACAACCAGATCAACCTGAAGATGAATCTCAACCACCAATGGCACAATTAACACGTATACGTTTACCAGATAATTTTGCATCAACACAACAAGTTCGTACATTACTTGGTTATGTTAATAATACATTAACACCTACTGTAGAAGATGATTTTAAAGAACTTGGTCATGGTCAATATGGTGTTGTTTATCAAGTACGTTTACCAGATGTTGGTCTTGTTGCTGCTAAATTATTACCAGAATCTATACGTAATATTGAACGTCGTCGTGATAAACGTAAAAAAGGTGATGATAATGAAGAAAGTCAAGAAATGATTACAAAAAAACATGAAGAACAAAAGAAAAAAGCTGCTGAAATGTTAATTGATGAAATAAAAGTTATGCATAAAGCTGGTAAACATATTAATATTGTTTCATTACTTAAAGTTGCATATCCAGAAACAAAAATAAAATATATACTAACAGGTGGTCTTATACGTGATGAAGATTCATTTTATTTAATGGAATTATGTTCAAATGGTTCACTTGAATCAATGCTTAAACGTTTTCTTAAAATATCATCAAATATATCAGATAAAAAATTATCATTATATGAAACACTTGCTAAACAAAATGAACCAGGAATGACTATTACACAAGCATATAATTCATGTATATTAACAGATGATGATTTAATTTTAGCTGCTTATCAAGTTGCTTGTGGTGTTGATTATTTAAATAGAAAACAAATAGCACATTGTGATATAGCAGCACGAAATGTTTTAGTTAGTTCAAGATTTATTATGAAAATATGTGATTTTGGGTAGATATTTTTCTTGAAGCTTTTTTTTTTAATTCAAATTTTTAAATATATATGTTTTATTTTGTTTTTTTTTAGTTTAGCAACATGGACAACATATAAAAATTATCGTGAACAACTTGCACAAAATGAAAGTGTACAACTTCAAAAGAAACATGTATGTCGTTCGACGGCAAAAAAAAACAAGAGAATCGTTTTGTAAGATTAAGATGTTTTTTTTTTTTGTTATTTGTAGAATGAATTAGCAACACATAATTTAACACCAGAACTTGCTCGAGCTATTTTACGTGCATCAACTCCTGATGAACGTCTTTTACTTAATAAAACATCAATAAAATCTGATGTGTAAGTAAATTTACTTTTTATGATTTTAATTTTTTTTTTTACATAAATAGATGGTCATTTGGAATATTTCTTTGGACATTATTTCTTAAATGTAAGTATTTTATTTTGTATTTTTATTATATAAATTATTTGTTTTTTCAAGGTCGAATTCGACCATTTAATAAACTTTTAGAAGAAATGGAAAATAAATCTGATGGTGAAAGTTTTTTTCATCGACTTGCACGTGTTGTTAGTGATGGTCGTGTTCTAAAATATATTGATTATCAACCAGAAATTCCACGTAAAATGTAAGAATTTATCCATAATTAAGATTAAAAATTATTTTGAATTAAAACTTTTGTTTTTTTTTTTTGTTTGATATATTAATGTTAATATGAATTAGTCTATTCATCGAAATTAGAATTACCAAAAAAAATAGGATTTGAAGAATAGTAGAAGTATATTGTAAAATTTGATATTAAAATTAAAAGTATATGAAAAACCGAAAAATTTTATAACATGATTTGTATTTATCTTGTTCAAGATGGGAAATAAATGTCTTCTTCGATTAGCTTGACATTCAGATAGACCTTGTAATGAATACCTATAAAAATATCAGTTGTGTCGAAGTATGCTTTGAAATTAGAATTGTACAGATAGAATTTACTAACTAAATAGAAAGATTAGATGTGAGAATAAACAATTATGATGTTCAAGTTTAGATCAAAGATATTTTTCGATCGATTCAATTTAAAAGAAATCTAATTTATCTTCGATCGAAATACATTATAAGATTTTTTTTATCAATAGTAATCGTTTTTTGATTACTAATGGATTTTCTTTTTCATACAAAAGATTTCATTCTCTTTCATTATTCACTAATGTTCCTTTATTACAGTTATAATTGTTTTTTTTTATTTATTCTAAACTCTTTCTTAGTAATATTCTTTTACTAGCTCAAATATTTCGATGAATGATACATTAACTGTTTGAGTGGGAAAAAGATATCTAGAAATAATGATTATTTTCAGTTACAATGGTTTCGATTTTGATTAAACATATAAAATTAAAAGGGATAAATAAACACTAAGAACAATTCGATGATATGAAAAAATGATCGAAGTTTTTCAATGAGATTTATTCTTTTATTTTTTTTGTCTTCTTGCCATATCAGTGCTCATGAAATTAATTCAATCTAATGAAAATACAATGTGATATCTTTAATTGATGAAGGAAATTCTCTGGATCGATTAATCGATTTTCTATTAAAAAATACAATATCTTGATAACAATGAACTAATGATTCGAGCTTCTTCTAAGCATTAAAAATTATGTTTCGTTTGTAAAAATCTATTTCATTGTTTTAGTTATGCCCTTATTCGAGAATGTCTAGTTGAAGAAAATCATCGACCAACAATGACACGAATTCGTGCTCTTTTATGTCATTCAAAAATGTTATCAAAACAAGCTTTTGATGTATGTATTAAATTAATTATTTTCTTTCAATATTTTACATGAAAATTATATACTTTTTTTGTAATATTCTTAATAGTATTATCGAAATGAATATAATCGTTATCAAGAAGAAGATCCAACAGATGAGAATCGTCTCATTTTTGGTGAAGAACAAGGTATTAGTGACTTACCATCATTTGATGATGATAATAGTACTAGTTCATCGAATCCTCCTCGTAATAATGATGTCACATATCGTTCAACATCAACAAATAATTATTATCCAACAACAAGTGATAATACATCACATACATATTTATCTCAATCAGATAAAGATTATTCTGAACAAAAAGATGATTCATATTTAACACCATCGACAACATCAACAAAAACAGATAATAATCAACAACAACGAACAATAGCTGGTAATATATCAGATAAATTAGTACCATTAATTAAAGATAATAAGAACATTTCAACAATTGAATCAAATATTCCTCCTGTCATTCCTAAAGTTCGTGCACCATTAAGACCACCTCCACCTCCACCACGTTCATCAATAAAACGTGATAATGAAGGTGGTGATAGTTATGTATGAATTCATAATATTCGTAGAAATTAAATTTTTAGTTGATGTGCATTGTTCTCGTTTTGTGCTATACACTTTTTTTTTTATTTGTACGAGTTTCGTCTCTTTTTATTATTATTATTATTATTATTATTATGCTTACTCAATAGGGATCTGTCTATTTTAATCTTACAGTGCTGTTCTGTGATGTCATTTATAGTTTAAATATTCTTTTTTTTTTAAATGAATTTCTGAACAATTTTTTTTTTTGCTCTTTTTAAATTTGTTTTTTGCTTCGTGAATCTGTGTATGTTCTCTTTTATAGTTCAATAAACATGATTAAAAAAAAACAAAAACAACAATACCACACTTAAATTTAGTAAGAACTTCATGTATATTGAAATAGAATGAACTCCTGAGAAAGAGAATATAACAAAAAACAAAAAAAAAAATAAGCACTATTGAAATTGTTCTGTAAGGATTGAAGAAAATGATCTAGTTTTTTCAATAATATAATAACTTCGACGAAATACACGAACTATCCGTTCAAATTCGTCATCATCATAAACAGATCGAGCTGTATTACTTTGATCAAATGGTTCTAAAAAAAAAAGCACAAAAAATAATTCTCTTCTTTTTCGAATTCATTTTCTATTACCTTCAATAGCTAATAGAGCATGCCCATAATTTGTCATATCATTATCTAAAAATTCATCTTTATCCATTAAACAACCCATTCGAATACTAATCGCATGTTTTTCATATCTATATAAATTTAGAATAAATATGTTTTTTTCTCAAAGTTTGTGTTTTCTTTTTACCGAAAATCTTTAGCAAAAAATCTTAAAAATCCAACAAATAATTCGCCAAGTGTTTGATGATTATCTGATTTCCATATTAATTTTGGTTCATCATTACGTTTTAAATGTGCAACAGGAATATTGACATCAAAACGATCCTTAAAGAAAAATGAAAAAGAGAATTATTTTTATAAACTCTATTCAACATACTGGTAAGAGTGCTTGCCAAACTGGTACAACTGGTGGTTGTACAATAGCTAAAATAAGCATAAATAGTAAAAAACAAAATAAAATTAACGAAAGTGAAAGTCAATAATAAACTACCTTGTAAATAGAACAGACACATTAATGTAAGAGAATAACTTGATAATGTTTTCTGACTGGCGTCATTAATCTAATGCAAAAAAAAATAAAACAAAAACATTTTGTATATGAAAAGAATAATATTTTTTTTTCTAGCCATACATTGTGAAATTTCGCCCATGTTTTAAGTATCAAGACTAAAATGAAACAAATTAAATTATTATAGTATATTAGTTTGAATTCTAAGAACAAGATATTTTTTGTAATCTCTCTCGAATATTTCGAGAATGACTCATCAGAAAATTTTGAAAGTTTTAGAGTAGATAAATCTCAATGATTAGAGTAAATGTCATCATAGACTAAAACTTTCCAGATGCCTTCGGGTAAGAGATGTTGGCGTTGCAAAAGCTAAGTATGGGCTTCTTTTCTCAATTCTAATATGTCTGATGGAGTTGAACAGTTGTTTTTTACAGAAACTAGTAGACATTGTTTCAGTTGCCTACTTGTTTTTTTTTATCTCCTTCCGTTCAAATAAAAATATTATTATTCGGAGAATACTGTTAAAAGTGTATGTATACTTTTTTTATAACCTACAGCAAAAATCAGTGGTACATTATATTTTTACAGAAAACAAAATGCATTATAAACACTCGTTAGATGTACTGTGGTTGGGAAACGAAGGCGATTCTCAACGATCTTTTTGTCAAAACAGCGAAAATATTCCATGTTTTCCAGTGTTTTGATTACAATAGTTACAATTAACTCTCGAAATAGATTCAATAGATAGGGGATATATAGGAGCATTTATGGAACAACAACAAAAAAGAAAGATCTAAAAATTTTTAGTTGAACAAGAAAAAATTCTCTTATACGAAAATAGCAATTCTCTCTTGATAAATTAAAATACGTTTTGAGGAAGCCATTTTCTGCAACTATATTTTTTTTGTGAAAATCTCAAAAATAGAAGACTTCATAATCTATTTAAAACACTATTTCCTTAACATCCTCAAAAGAAAACTGCAACTTTCGTACTAACCAAGTGGTGCTACTCGTGGATCTGTTTCAGCATAGAAACGTAATAGATCTGTATTTCGAATGCCAGTTATATTATTAATGTTTACATCACATCTTAATCGACTGAAAAAAAAATCATTAAAAGAGAAATTTTGACATTATCTCAAAGTGAATGCATATTTCCTACGTTGCATAATCAGTAAATCGAAGAATTGGTACACGAGCACGTATTAAATCACATGCACCAGCAACTAAATATAATCAAACATACGATGACAAAACATATAGAAAAAAATAATAATAAAATGATACGAACAAATTTTTTTACGTAAAGCGCGTCGCATTATTTCAAGAAATTTTACTGCTTCACGTTTTTGATCAATCTTAAAAAAATAAAACAAAAATTAATTTTTAATATCTGATTTTTATTTTATTTTAAATATTTACAGGATAAGATGAAATCACAATACATATATCAGCATCTGTATCTTCTGTTGCAAATCCATTTGCACTCGATCCAACTAAATAAACACCTAAATCTAAATTGATTGAACACTATTAAGAAATGAAATTCCTTTTTTCTTTCTCTCATTCTACTTGGAACAATTCCAACAAACATTGAAAAAATATCTTCACAAAGTTTCCATTTTAATGTAAAAGTAGATTCAAGTTGTTTTGCTTTATTATAATGATTTAAGAGTTCATCTGTTAGCTAAAAATATATACAATAGTCGAAAGAATATTTTTTTTTATAATTTAAAATTTTTTGCTCGGACTTTTCGTCGCATGATCGAAATGTTTCAATATCTCTAAATGCTATATATTTATATGTCAGAAAATGTCTGTGAAAGTGTGATTGTGTAGCTGTTGATATAGTTTTTTTTCTTCACTAACACCCGCATCTACAACTAGAACTTGTCGAGTTCGAGTTCAGGACTTATTCGACGAAAACTAGCTCCTGCTCTTCGAAAAAGATATCACAACATTTTGTTCACGTACTATCTTGTTTTTGCAACATTCTGTTCATGCGGCGGTTTGTCCTACGACGAAAAGTTCGATCACCGACAACTTACCATATGAAAATCAGGAGAATTTAAATAACTAGTATTATTATCTTGTTTAAATTTTTTGGATTTATTGAATTTCGGAGTACTTGATCTATTTAAAATAAATTTACGAAATTATATAAATCTCGTTTTTTTTACATCTCCTTACTCTCGTAGTCGTTTTTTATTTGTTGATATATTCTGTGGACTAAAATCAATATACTGTTCATTGTCATAATTCAGAAATTCTTTTGGTGTTGATTGTAAATTATTTCCTCGACGATTTAATTGTTTATATCCAAAACTAATCCCTTGTTTACCTCGTCTCGAAGACATTTTTTTTTAACTATCTAAAAACAAACTAAGGACATGAAAAAAAAGAAAAAACATATTCCTAATTGATTTTTAAAACTATTTATTTATCTCTCTGAAAGCATTCATATGTTGTTCAATAGCATTAGCTACTTCTTTTGCATTCTTATTTCTACCGTAATAATCAACAAAATCACCGTTTGGATTGATTAAATACATAATAATAGCATGATCAACAATATAATCATCACCAACTTTTGGCCCTTGACTAAAATAAACTCGATAATGTTTACACATATCAGCAACTTGTTCACGTGTGCCTGTTAAACCAATGAAATGTGGTGAATAATCTTTAATATATTTTGAAACTAATTCAGGTGTATCACGTTCAGGATCAACAGAAACAAAAACTGGTTGAAATGGATATTTTTGTTTATTTTTTTGTTTAGAAAGAATTTCTGTTACTTCAGCTAGTTTTTCTAATTCTTCAGGACATATATCTGGACAATGAGTAAAACCAAAATAAATCAATAGCCATTGACCATGAAAATCTTTATCTGTAATGGGTTTTTTTTCATGTGTTATCAATGAAAATGGACCACCAATAGCCATTTTACCAACTGCAGCACGTTGAAGTTTTCTACGATTTGCTACTTTACGTTGATCAAGATAATAAATGAAAGCCATTAATGAGGCAGCACCAATAACAGTTACAGTTACAGCTAAAAGAAATAAACTAACAATATTAAATTTAATATTTATTATAACACATAAAACAGCAATAACGAGAGTATTGAATGAAATATTTTAATACCCAACGCTTGATAGCATACTCTATATATGTATTCAAAAACAATGCTTGTTCTTAAGTTTTTGTTTATATTTCATGCGCTTTTTGAATCAACTTTGAATAATATTTCATGTATTCATCAATAGCAACTGGAAATTTTTGATAGGATAGATATAGGATGAGTTTTGTTCTTAGACAAATATTCGAAAAATCATTCTCACACAAAACTCAGCATGAACAATACATGAAGTTATATCATTACTTGACTTCAATATAGGATTCTATGGTTTTCTTCCATTCTATTTTTTTAATCAGATAACAAAAATCCAATTTGAAATATCTGTTATATTTTTATTAATGTGATTCAAGCAATTTGTAATATTATACATTCACTTGACTTACTTTTCCATGAAATATTATATTTTGCTTTCTTCTTTTCAGATGGTGGTAACGCATTCGGTAGAGTACTACCTTTCGTATCTGGTTTATTTGATAATGGTAATGTTGATGATACAAAACGATTTTGTGATAATAAACAAGTTGATTGAAGAATATTTCTTGTTAAATAAGTTGATGTTCTAATTGATAATAAATGAGAAATAATCGACATGATTATTCTTTTAGTTTTCTATGAACTAAAATAAAATAAAGAAAGAAAGAAAAAGAAAAATTTAGTGTTTTAATTCTAAAACAATCTTGTTTTAATTTTTTCTTTTTTGTTTTATTTTCCAATACAAAAATCACGAAATATAACATCAAGTAATT